ATCTGGGGGGGAGGAGCCCCGGCTGTGGCCGAGGTTTTACCCTTCCTTTTGGCCTTGCGGCCGACCACCTTCGACCATTGGACAATGCTCCCCGATGCCTGGGGAGCGTTGTCCTCCTGGCCCGCTGCAACTTCGTGCAGCTGGGCTCCACCTACCCGTCCTCTCAATACCTGAGAGGGGGGAGGGGGAGGAGGAGGGCCAGTTGGTCGATTTTTGGGGCCCTTTTTGGGCCCCGGTCGGGCCGGCCTGGGTTTAGCCTTGGGGGCTTCAGCCGGCTCCGGGACTCCTCTCATGGCCCCGGCCACTAGGCCCGATTGGGCTTCAGGTCGGGGCGGCGGCGGCTGCCTCTTATCCGCTTCCAGTGGGGGCCTCACCACTGGCTCTGGGGGGAGGCGCGACTCCAAGCCTTGAAGGCGGGCGTTCACCATCCCGCCAACAGACTGTAGGAGTTCGCGCCTCATCTCCTCCATGGCACTCCTCAGTACCTCCTCTAGGCCCGGCTGGGCCTGGGGTGCCTCCCCCGAAGTCGCAGTCGCGTTGGCTCGCTTCTGCGACTCCGAGTATGCCTCCTTGAAGGCGCGCAGCTCGGCGCGGACTAGCTCGAGCTCTTTCGCGAGTCGAGCATTGTCCGCGCGGAGCTTGCGCAGCTCTTCTCCAGCAGCGCCTTGCTGCTCCCTGCGCGGCAGCGTCCTCGTTGGAACCGAGCTTGGCGGCCGATAGGAGGACCGGTATGTGGGGTCGGAGTCGCCCGAGTCACTCTCCAACCCCTTCGCCAGGCCTTCCTTCGCCGCTTTCAGGAACGCATGTTTCCCTGCGGTACCTCTTATGCGGCCTCTGGCCGCCGTGGACAGTTTATTGGCCATAGCTGGACCTGCCTCCTCTCCGGACGATTCCCTCAGGGCCCTCTTTTTCTTTAGTTCCCCTGAGGTGAACTTTAGGGTCATCTTCGGCGCCGGCTCAGCCTTCTTGGCGTGGCTTCGTAGCCGCCGCACAGACATTTCCTCATCACTTTCGTCACTCGAGTTGGACGCGCTAATGGCAATCACTAGCTCCTTTCCCTTACTCTCCTCCTCTACTCCTCGCGCATCGCGCCCTCTTACTCCTCCCTCATCAGTTTTATTTTGTTCTTTAGTAAAATCCATAATGATTCCCACGAGTAGGGCCGATCTAAACTCCACCCCCGGGTGACGCCCATTCCGAAGGGTGGGGCTACTTACTACAGAGGTCGCCAGGTATCTGTAGGTTTTTACGACTATTCTGTCGGGTTTTTATAGAGTTTTCCTTTCTCGTGGGCCGGCCGGTTAAGGCAAGCCCTCCGCTTCTGTGGTCCCAACGTACTCCATAACGCCGGTTTGATGGAGATCGTTGAAGGGACCACAGGGTTACGGGTATGCTAGAGAGGTCGGCGTGCCCCCTCTAGTTTAGGACGGATCCCCCCCACCCCTCCCCGACGGCAGGTTAGTGCACGCCGGGGCCGCCCTCCCCATTTCCCTCCCCAGTGTTTGGTTCGCGGGGCTTTCGCCCTACCCCGGCATATTGCCGGGGCATTCCCCTATCCACCACCCGGGGACGCGCCACGTCGGAGTTCACCTCTCCGCCCACTCGGACAACCGAGCAGGTCCGTGGACATTCACTGTTACCTAACTAAGGGTAGGTTAGACCCTCAGTGGGGATAGTGAGCTGATGATGATAACATGTGTT